GATAGAAAAAAATAAAACCAATGCACAAATGAAAGAAAGGGTTTAGTATGACGATAAAATACATCCGTCATCATGACATCTGATTTCAGATTTTGAAGAATTTGGAACCATCTCTTAAGTAATGTTGTTCCCATATCCACCGTAACCGGGGTGGTAGCACCTGTTAGGGTCCCCGCTATGGGTAAATAAGGAACCCCCAAACAAAAAACAAATACTGAAAGTATAAAAATATATTTTTATGGCGAACAGCAATAAATTATTATATTAAAAAAAATGACCAAACATTCATTTTTAATGCAAAATGACAAAGAATGCATTTTATATTAGAATTACGCACGAACATTCATTTTAATGCAAAATAACCAACAATGTATATTATATTAGAGTTACCAACGATACATTTTATAGCAAAATAACCAACAATGTATATTATAGTAGAGTTACCAACGATACATTTTATAGCAAAATAACCAACAATGTATATTATAGTAGAGTTACCAACGATACATTTTATAGCAAAATAACCAACAATGTATATTATAGTAGAGTTACCAACGATACATTTTATAGCAAAATAACCAACAATGTATATTATAGTAGAGTTACCAACGATACATTTTATAGCAAAATAACCAACAATGTATATTATAGTAGAGTTACCAACGATACATTTTATAGCAAAATAACCAACAATGTATATTATAGTAGAGTTACCAACGATACATTTTATAGCAAAATAACCAACAATGTATATTATAGTAGTGTTACCAACGATACATTTTATAGCAAAATAACCAACAATGTATATTATAGTAGAGTTACCAACGATACATTTTATAGCAAAATAACCAACAATGTATATTATAGTAGAGTTACCAACGATACATTTTATAGCAAAATAACCAACAATGTATACTATAGTAGAGTTACCAACGATACATTTTATAGCAAAATAACCAACAATGTATATTATAGTAGAGTTACCAACGATACATTTTATAGCAAAATAACCAACAATGTATATTATAGTAGAGTTACCAACGATACATTTTATAGCAAAATAACCAACAATGTATATTATAGTAGAGTTACCAACGATACATTTTATAGCAAAATAACCAACAACGTATATTATAGTAGAATTTCCAACGATATATTTTATAACAAAATGACCAACGATGCAGATTATAGTAGAGTTACCAACGATACATTTTATAGCAAAATGGCCACCAATACATTTTATAGTAGAATAGAATTACCAACAATATATTTTATAGCAAAATGATCAGTAATGCGTTTTATCTGTGAAGCGACAAAATTGTGTTCAAAATATTTAGATTTCGATAATTAAATAATTCATAGAGGCTGATATGCCGCACAAATAAATATATATATATAAACACAATGAGCCAAACCAAGAAATGAAAATCTATCGATGTGTGACGTATGTAAATAGTGCAGCTACTCGTATCTGAAGATGTTAGTCTACTAGAGCGGCCAGCTAATCTCCGCTGCAGACACCTGTTCAGGCACAATTTTGTTTATTCAACAGTCACAGAACCCACCTGATTGTATACTGCCACTATGCTGAACGGACCAAAGTTACACTTTCTGGGTGAGATAGGGTGTTATCGAGCGTGATCAACGTTCTGAACAACCCGTACACGCTCAACCCCTCGGTCACGATGACTTTGGACCTCGGGTTAGTCCAACTACTGACGGCTCTCAAGGTTTCAGTCGACCCCATTTCACTCACAGGCCCGTGGTATGGTTTGCAGGCATTTTTCGAAAGGGAACTCCTCTCCCAGACCGATGACATCAAGAATTCACTTTCCTGACAAATCGACCGAGCGAAGACTCGAACCCGGGGCTCATGGTCAGAAAGCGAACGTTATAATCACTCAGCCACATGCCCATGTGGTACGCGTTATAGAGTAAAAAATATCGGCGGAAGGAGTTTAAAATTACAGGCAAGTTTGTTGTGACTAGTTTCATTCTTGGTAATGACGCGAATCTGTTACATCTTTCTCCGACAGGTTGAATAGATTGCATTCTTTCGCCTTGGATGGCATCCATTCTAGAAGGGAAAAAAAATTTCCAAACCATAGAGAAACACGCGAGAAATTATTTGACTATCATTAAATAAATGCGACCCTTTCGTTATGAAAATCGAATTTCCTCATTAGACAGAATGCACGCAATTCCTCTATAAATCAGTTTCCATTAAACAGATTCCTCTATAAATCAGTTTCAGCTGAACAGATTCCACTATAAATCAGTTTCAGCTGAACAGATTCCACTATAAATCAGTTTCAGCTGAACAGATTCCACTATAAATCAGTTTCAGCTGAACAGATTCCACTATAAATCAGTTTCAGTTAAACAGATTCCTCTATAAATCAGTTTCAGCTGAACAGATTCCTCTATAAATCAGTTTCAGCTGAACAGATTCCACTATAAATCAGTTTCAGTTAAACAGATTCCACTATAAATCAGTTTCCGTTAAACAGATTCCACTATAAATCAGTTTCAGCTGAACAGATTCCACTATAAATCAGTTTCAGTTAAACAGATTCCTCTATAAATCAGTTTCAGTTAAACAGATTCCACTATAAATCAGTTTCAAACAGTTAATAAATCAGTTTCAGTCTATTCCTCTAAAATCAGTTTCAGCTGAACAGATTCCTCTATAAATCAGTTTCAGCTGAACAGATTCCACTATAAATCAGTTTCAGTTAAACAGATTCCACTATAAATCAGTTTCCGTTAAACAGATTCCACTATAAATCAGTTTCAGTTAAACAGATTCCTCTATAAATCAGTTTCAGCTGAACAGATTCCTCTATAAATCAGTTTCAGCTGAACAGATTCCACTATAAATCAGTTTCCGTTAAACAGATTCCTCTATAAATCAGATTCCTCTAAACAGATTCAGTTAAATCAGTTTCCGTTAAACAGATTCCTCTATAAATCAGTTTCAGCTGAACAGATTCCACTATAAATCAGTTTCAGTTAAACAGATTCCTCTATAAATCAGTTTCAGCTGCCCATATTCCTCTATAAATCAGTTTCAGCTGAACAGATTCCACTATAAATCAGTTTCAGTTAAACAGATACCTCTATAAACCAGTTTCCGTTAAACAGATTCCACTATAAATCAGTTTCAGCTGAACAGATTCCTCTATAAATCAGTTTCAGCTGAACAGATTCCACTATAAATCAGTTTCCGTTAAACAGATTCCACTATAAATCAGTTTCAGCTGAACAGATTCCACTATAAATCAGTTTCAGTTAAACAGATTCCTCTATAAATCAGTTTCAGCTGAACAGATTCCTCTATATATCAGTTTCAGCTGAACAGATTCCACTATAAATCAGTTTCCGTTAAACAGATTCCACTATAAATCAGTTTCAGTTAAACAGATTCCACTATAAATCAGTTTCAGTTAAACAGATTCCACTATAAATCAGTTTCAGTTAAACAGATTCCACTATAAATCAGTTTCAGCTGAACAGTTTCCACTATAAATCAGTTTCCGTTAAACAGATTCCACTATAAATCAGTTTCAGTTAAACAGATTCCACTATAAATCAGTTTCCGTTAAACAGATTTCACTATAAATCAGTTTCAGTTAAACAGATTCCACTATAAATCAGTTTCAGCTGAACAGTTTCCACTATAAATCAGTTTCCGTTCAACAGATTCCTCTATAAATCAGTTTCAGTTAAACAGATTAAAATATGTAGGCGTCACGCCCCTTAAAATCCATCCCATACCAGAAGCTATAGTTCTACATTGATCTCTTGAAATAAATCTTTTAGCTGTCTTTATTTGTCTGTCTTTCTACGGATATCGCGTAAACCTTGGTATGTTTTAAACTTGAATCGATGGGTATACATTGAGCTGTTCTTTGGGTCTATAAATAAACATTTATATTGTTTATATATGGGTCTATATGTAAATAAAGATCTTTTAATACTTGCGCATGTAGTTAATTATTAGACCGGTTTATATTTGAGCCTATTCCTTAGAATTGATTTTGTTTATACGTTAGGGTACCGGGAAATTTCGGTCTTTTATATACTTGAGCTTTTGCCATATTTCATATTTGAGTCTAGGTGTAAACGCTTTTGTTGTTTATACGTGAGTTAATTGGTAAATATTGGTCCTTTTATACTTGGGTCCATAGGTAAACAATGGTCTGGTTTATATCTGAGTCTGTAAGTAAACACTTGTTTTGTTTATACATGAGTCTATAGGTGAATAATAGTCCTTTTCATACTTGAGCCTATAGGCAAATATTAGTCGAGTTTATACACGAGGCTATGAGTAAAACAATTTTTATTTAGGCGTGAACTTGTCACTTATATTATTTACATTATTCGGACTGTTATCCCCATCTTCATTTCCATGTTCACAACGTTTCGGCCGTTGTACGCTCCGGTCTTCTTCAGGTGATTGGAATTTCGAACTGAACGCTTTATTTCGTCCAGCGGGATAGATTGTTCTAGATCCACTTACCATGCCTCTTCCGGATGTAATGTAAATAATATAAATGATCATAATACCTCATCTCAGAGATATAGACAGATAGTGAACTTATCAGTAAGTATTGGTCGCATTGTTACTTAGGTTTATAGAAAATCATTTGTCGGCTTTGTACTTGAGTCTATGTTATGGAGTGGTTTCACAGTGGAGGCTTGTATTTGTACTAAGTCGGTCCTAAAATAGGTTCGACGTACAAACGTTAGGAACTTGATATAATAGGTAATGACGCAGAGGAAATCTAGTTGTGGTCGCTGATACTTTAGTATCCGACTAACGGTCGTCCGGCATCGACTGACTGACCGACCCACTGTGCGACTCCTACTACTCCTACTTATTATAGGTGGGAGAGTCTATTAACAATAGAATAGGTGTGTTCCACTATAACATCCCCCATTAAAACTTTACTCCGTAGGAGTTGACAGATTTATTTATATTGTTTTACCGGAAATATATGAAAAAAAACAACAACAAAAAACTCTTTCACTATTTCTATTTTCTTCCCTCTCTCTCCCCCTCTCTCTTTCTCTCTTCTTTCACTCTTTCTACTTTCTTTTCTCTGTCTCCTCCCTTTCTCATTCTCTCTTCTTTCACTCTTTCTATTTTTCTTCCCTCTCTCTACTCCCTCTCGCTTTCTCTCTTCTTTTACTCTTTCTATTTGTCTTCCCTCTCTCTCCTCCCTCTCGCTTTCTCTCTTCTTTCACTCTTTCTATTTTCTTCCCTCTCTCTCTCTCCCTCTCTCTTTCCCTCTTCTTTCACTCTTTCTATTTTTCTTCTCTCAATTTCCTCCCTTTCGCTTTCACTCTTTTTTCAAAAAAAATTTTCTTCCCTCTATCTTCTCCTTTTCTCATTCTCACTTCTTTCACCATTTCTATTTTTCTTCCCTCTCTCCCCTCCCTTTCGCTTTCTCTCTTCTTTCACTCTTTCTATTTTCCTCTCTCTATCTCCTCCCTTTCTTATTCTCTCTTCTTTCACTATTTCTATTTTTCTTCCCCCTCTCTCTTTCTCTCTTCTTTCACTCTTTCTATTTTTATTCCCTTTCTCTCGTCCCTCTCTCTTTCTCATTTCTTTCACCCTTTCTATTTTTCTTCACTTCTCTCCCCCTCTCTCTCCTCCCTCTCGCTTTCTCGCTTTTTTCACTCTTTCTATTTTTCTTCCCTCTCTCCCCCTCCCTCTTTCTATCTTCTTTGACTCTTTCTATTTTCTTCCCCCTCTCTCCCCTCTCTCTCTTTCTCTCTTCTTTCACTCTTACTATTTTTCTTTCCTCTCTCTCCTCCCTCTTTCTTTCTCTCTCTCCTCCCTCTCTCTTTCTCTTTCTCTCTCTCTCTCTGCATATTTTCGTTTCACTAACGTATTCTCTACATTTTCTTTTTTTCTTCCCTCGCCCTATAACCAATACCTCACTTTCTTATCCCTTTCCTTCTCCTCGGTTTTTCTTCTTTCATTCTTCTCTTTCCCTCTCCTCGATGTCTACATTTCCTCTCTTCATTCTCTCTTCTCTTACACTTTCTTTCTTTCTTTCCTATTTCTTTATCCCTCGTCTTCCTCTCCTCCCATAGACTGTCGAACAATCACGTGGTCAAGATAAACACTCAGTTGTGGAGTAAGCTGAGTGAATACTAATTCAACATTGAGAAAGAGAGTTATTATGGTGCAATGGAGCATCTCATTATGCTAAAGTGGGATAGTCCATTGCTTGGGCTTTGATTGGCTGCTGGTACCTGAGTGGAAGTATTTCTATATAAATACCAGCTTGATTTCTCAGTTAGTTTGCAGGGTTTGTATTAAGTTACAACCTGCTTTATTTTGTCTGCTAGCTGGACGCTAGCTGGGACTCTTAGGCCGGTAAGTGTTGTTTATTGTATTGTTATTCTACACCGTTTTCTCTCTTCCCCCTCTCTTTTACTTTATTCGCTTTCATTCTTTCTTCACCTTCTTTCCACTTACTCTTTTCTTTCTCTCTTTTTCTCTTCTCTTATTCTTCATTTTTTTCATCTATACCCCTCCTTCTCTCTTCGATAATCTATGATCCCCTCTCTCCCCACTCTTGTTCTTTCTCTCTTCTTTTCATCTCTTCGCTTCCTTCCTCTGATCTTTCTCTTTTTTTTATTTTATACCCTCTTCCTCTACTTCTATCCCCTCTTTCTCTGTTTCCATCTCTCTTTGTCTCTTTTCCCTTCTTTCTTCCTGTTTTTTTTCCTGTCTCCTCTTTCTCTCTTCCTTCACTATCCATCGCTCGTCACTCACAATTTCGCCATTTTCTCTCATCATTCACTCTCTCATTTTAATCTTTTAATCTTCATTCACCCACTTTCCACTTCTCTTCTCTCTTTCTTTCTGTCTTTACGTCTTTATCTCGAAACTAAAGATTCCTTTGTTGTTGTTTTTTTTTTAACCCTTTACCTAAGTTTGCCTACGATGTAATGCAACCTAATCTCATGACGTTCTATAAAAAAAATTCCTCGGCTTGTATTTTTTTTTCTTTTATTGTAGTTCGTTGCCAAGGCAAGAAAACAAAAATGGCATTAAATCCAATTCAAGTCTAACGAGACGATTATTTACGCCGAAGAAAATTGAATTTTACGACGAGGTGTTCAATGAATCCTAACATTCCCTGCATTTTATTTTACAAAACTTACAGCATCTTTATGAATTTTTGAAAAAAAATTTCTTTCATCTTAATTTCAATTGCTTTTTATTACAGTTAAATATTCAAACACTCTACCGATATGTCTAAAAAATGTCGACACGAAGTCGCATCACATTTGCCTTGTGAAAACAATTTTACTGATTTTGCTTTAATCGATTTTGCTCAGGGTGTTTTACGCCATTTCCATATTGGGTGTCATCTTGTTGTGTACAAAGATATCGACTAACTATATTATCTTACATATTTATTATGCTTAGATGAAGAGTTGTAAACAATTATCCATTTTTTATTATAGTTTCTTTATTATGCTTTTAGAAACGCATATTTTAAAAGTATATGGAAATATATAGACAAATATTAAAACAAACGGATTCTAATTAATTTTTGCATAAATTAATTATATATATATATATATATATATATATATATATATATATATATATATATATTGTGTGTATTTAGGCAGCATTTTTTTCATTGATGCATGTTTCATTAAATAATATAGACAAGTGTTGTCTATTTATTTTATGTAAATTCTTTTTCATAACGTTTGATAAGCTTAATAACATTATCATTAAACGAAGAAAGAAAGTCACAATAATGAGACATATTTTTTAATCCTATCTAAGCTTTCGGCGTACATAAGCAATTATCAAAAATGAAAATTTCATTACAATATATTAAGCAATACACGAACAAGACAGTGATGATAGTCTGTTTCTGTTTACATGGAAGATATCCAAGCAACGACAAACTCGTGCATATAAGACGCTGGAAGTGAAAATCGCACCGCAGCTCATAACGTTACACATGGCCACGCGAGTATTAAGTATTGGAAGCCGTTGGTATAAACCAATGGCTTCTGTTACCAATTACAGGCATTTAAAAATATTTGTGGGAATTTCATAGTTTATTTTATTCGGGTTAGGTTTCAACTATTTTATGTACATAGCTTCAAAAATTTTTTTAATTTTTGTTTTCATGTTTAATATATTTTCATACTTAATACTTTTCGTTTTCACTTTAATGAAACATGCATCAATATATATATATATATATATATATATATATAAAGAAAGAAAGAAATGAAGAAAGTTTACAAAATAGTGCTCAATGTAAATTTACAGAGCATTAATATTATAAATTAATTGATTTAAAATATGTTTTTACGCTACACAGTTCTAACCATGTTTCAAAAATGTAAGCTGAAAGCTCCGAATTTAAAAAAAATAATTGTAATTTAATAATATATATACTTATACTTGATGTGAAAATAATTCTACATACCGTAAGGGATTCTAATACATTTAATTGTTCTTAAAAGAAATATAGTATAAATTTAATTAATAAAATTAAAAATTAAAATATTTCAAATCGTAGTTAAATAAAGCGTATTCTAACCTAAAAACCCCTAAAATATCTTTAAATATACAAATAGAAAAAAATGTCGTAAAAATTTTTGCCGTTAACAATAAAATTTTAAAAAATCCAGACGACATGCATTTTACGGATGTTAGATTCCATTGAAAAATACATCCCTACCCCCTAGCAAAACTTAACTAATCACTGATACATCAAAATACAGACATAATGAACACGCAGACACCCCTTGTCCAGTTGAAGTAGATTTATCTGTAACCTTGGAAACATGAATTATGATTTTAGCTGTGTCTTTAAAACCCAGTAATTTTAAAAGTTACTCCAAAATTCGCTTGAAAATGAAATGGAACTAATGTCTTTAATTTAATTACAAAATTAAATTCGGAGCTTTTAGCTTCCATTTTTGAAACATGGTTAGAACTGTAGCGTAAAAAACCATATTTTAAATCAATTAATTTATAATATATATATATATATATATATATATATATATATATATATATATATACTTTTAAAAATACTATTTTTGACAAGAAGAAATATTTGCCAAAGAACGACTTAAATTAATTAAAAAAAAAAAAAAGGTGCTCAATACAATTTTCTCCAAAACGAAATTGCAGAACACTTTCAGTGATAAAATAATTGGAACGCCACACTTTCTGGTTTCTACCAATCAGGTATCAGGAGACAAAAACAATTTGTGTGATGATAGCTGATTGGTAGAAACCAATGTACCAGAAGGTCGGCGTTCCAATTATTTTATCTCTATTGGATATATATACGAATATGTTAGGCCATATTGAGTTTGCTTAGTTTTGCCGAGAAAAAAAGATGCAGGTCGGAGTTGAAAATTATTTTCAAAATAAATTCAAACATTGAGGGATTAAACACGAGGGATTAGTCAGAGATTATAATTTCCACGGGGAGATCTCTAACCAAAGACATTCTTAAGAAGAGTAAGCGCTACTTCTTTGTTCATCCCTTGTATCATTGAAAAAGAACACAGGCGTGTTCGGAAATTCCGATATTAAATCTGCCTGTTCGTGCTTCAATTCAATCAACGTTAATCTTACTTATTATAAAAACAGATTGATTTGTGTGTGTGTGTGTGTGTGTGTGTGTGTGTGTGTGTGTGTGTGTGTGTGTGTGTGTGTGTGTGTGTGTGTGTGTGTGTTTATATATATTGGATCGGATTTCATATGAATTTTTTTATTTCTACTGATTTCAACAAATTCACAGGACTGCGTGAAATTACCTTGCAGTGGTTCTGACCGCGCCAAAAATTGGAAAAATACAATTGTTTTTGCACGAAATCAATTAAGTCGCCAGAATGAAAGAGGGACAACTTATATCGAGTTATACTTATTATAAAACCCAAGTTGTTTATGTGTGTGTGTGTGTGTGTTCATTTATATATGGGATCGGATTTCCTACATTTTTCAACCGATTTCAACAAAACTTCACTTTTTTTTTTTTGTGGTAGTGTTTCTTTGACTTGCTTGCACACATGTTTCTTTTTTTTTTACATTCAGAATGCTTTAATAATTTCATTTACAAGGCAATTGTTTATAATAAAATTCTATTCAATCGGTAGACTCATAACGATTGAGAACAATGTTTTTGTTTGAGTTTGAGTGTGACCAATTCGTAAAAAAAAACAAAAAACAAAAAAAAACAACAACAAAACTAATTAAGACATGCGTGTCCGTCAACCTTAAACAATAATCTTTGTCAATATTATTTTTCAGTCTCTATGATGGTCGATACTTGATCTATCTCTTACTGTTACATCCCTGGGCAACGCCGGGCTCTACTGCTAGTATATAATAAATATCAATTTTATTGACAATATTGTTACCATTTTGTTGGCTTTTATTCCTCAAATTTTGTTCACTGGCCTATTAAATCTATATATTATGAGAAATACACTTTGTCCACCTTTCGGTTTATATTGGATTTTTATCCTACTCAAAATTATCCCTTCCAATCACAAACTTGTAAGACTTAGTTACTTTTGCTTTACTCGTGTTGGAGGTTTTTTCTTTGGACTCTGAACTTGGATTCTGGACGATTGTTTTTGCCTCAATTACATGTTCTTAGTTCTTACTTTTTTTTATTCCTTATTTTCTCTTGGGAATTGGTTTGTTCATTTACAAGCCAAAACACCTAACATTTTTCCAGAAGAGTATAACTATTCCTATATATATATATATATATATATATATATTAAAGACATTTTTATGTTTAACATTCTTTTTATAGATACAAATATTTAAGTAAATGCTCTGTTTATAATACACAGTATTAAACAACATTTACCGGCCTGAATGTCCGAGAAATTTTCACAGAAAATATTCACCCTTCGACAGGATTCGAACCTGTATCCTATACGGAACCGTCATTTGGCTTGACGTGCTCATGGAAGATTGAAGTTTAAATACAATAAATTATATATGTATATATATATGTATATGTGTGTGTGTGTGAGAGAGAGAGAGAGAGAGAGAGAGAGAGAGAAGAGAGAGAGAGAGAGAGAGGTGAACCTACGAGAGGGAGCGTCCGGTGTATATGTGCCTGAAGTTTGAATTTGTATTATTAATGTTTTATATATATATATATATATATATATATATATATATATATATATATATATATATATATATATATATATATATATATATATATATATATATATATATATATATATATATATATATATATATATATATATATTATAAAAAATATTCATATATTTTACTGCTTTTCGCAACTTCAAGTTTCATGTTGACCCTTATATGCTTTTGTCTCACAATCACCGGACGGTAAGAGGGACGAGATTCTCTGTTCCTTAAGAAACCCTAAATGATTTTACAGTAGGGTTGATTAATTTTGATTCTGCGCGTTCGTTTTTTCGACGACCCGTCAATCTGACAGTTCTTATAGTAACTTACAAAATCCAGACATCTATAATTAATTGAATGCAAATCGTTTTAGTTTACTTCTGCATTTATTTGCATGAATATTTCAAAGTTATAATTGCACAAATAAGAAAAAAAAAACATTGCAATGATAAAAGCCTGGAACAAAATGCTAACAAAACGCAATTAAATCTATCATGTTTATTTTTTTAATGAAGCAAGCATTGAAATCTAATGCTCGATATTGTATTCCATAATATGATGAGAGTTTAATTCATTCACTTTGAATATAAAGATGCCATTTCTTGCGGAAAAATGCTTCTATGTTTCCAGGCACATGTTTCTAATATGTTATATGCAAGTATGAAAGCAAAGACAACGCAATTATTTCGTTGCTAGTTTAGTCGATTGCATTAAAATTTCAAATAAAATGTTCTGTACGTACATACAATCCTGATTTGCTTAGGCACTCAGTAGCTATGAAGAGTATTGTCTATCGACCTATCTGTATAGATAGATATGAATAAACTGAGATGCATATATATATATATATATATATATATATATATATATATATATATATATATATATATATATATAGATATACCTAGTGAGCCAGACAAACCTACCTAGGTTTCACCTAAACGGATCGTCAGGGAAACTTTCCCTGACGATCCGTTTAGGTGAAACCTAGGTAGGTTTGTCTGGCATCACTAGGTTTATCTAGGTCTGCTCTACGGTTGTATTGAGCTCTTTTGTTAGTTAGTTGTTTACTCGTATCGGGGTTTTTTTCTTTGGGCTTCAGACCTGCATCTGTGCGATTTTTTTTGTCGGCAGAAGTTCATGTTTGTAGATCTTTCTTTTTTTAAAACCTTTTTTTTTTTCTCGAGATTGATTTGATTAGCAAATCAAAAATTCGAGGGTTTTTTTAAACGAGTCTAGTTATATATATATATATATATATATATATATATATATATATATATATATATATATATATATATATATTTAAGCATTTCACCTCAAGCAATGCGGGAATCCACTAGGACGCGAGGGGTTACAGAAAGTTTAGAGCAAGATCAGATAGGAGTGATAGAAGAAAGGATGAGGGTAGTGGATAGATCAAGGCAACTGGAGATGTCGATTGACATTACACTTGAATAGCTGGAGATTATAGCTCACAGGGAAACAGGAGAAGGGAAGGGATTTCCACAAGCGAGAAGTGCGAGAGATGAAGCTATTAGAGTAGAAGAGACGGCTATATTTAGGAGTTTCGACAGTGAAGGGGTGAGAGCGGGATGCCAGCCTCGTAAAGCGCTGAAACTCATGACGTCTGGGAACCAGCGAATGCATCTCCTCGGAAAGCATAATGAGAAGCCACGTTTATTTCTTAATATGTATATATACAGAAAAAACAACTAAAAAGTTGCAAATCAAAAAAATAATAATGTTTTTTTTTTTTTTTATGAAAGTATTTATTTATATCTGATATTTCAGATCGCCCTCGATCTTTCTTCAGAAATAACTGTTTTTAGAGGTTTGTTTAAACTGTTTTTAGAGGTTCGTGTAAACAAACCTCTAAAAAACAGTTATTTCTGAAAGAAGATTGTATAATCTGAAATATCAAATATAAATAAATACTTTCATAAAAAATATTATTATTCTTTTTTTGCAACTTTTTTTTTTTTTTTATATATATATATATATATATATATATATATATATATATATATATATATATATAAAAATAATTAAAAAACGATAACGGTATGGTTCCATGACTATAATTTATTTCCCCAGAAAATATATTTTTTCCTTGAGAGAGATAGCGAGAGAGAGAGAGAGAGAGAGAGAGAATACAGAGAGAGAAAAAAAGAAAAAGCTATCTAGCTAGATAGAGATAGATAGATAGATAGATAAATAGATAGATAGATATGAATAGACTGAGATGCATATATATATATATATATATATATATATATATATATATATATATATATAACGATGAAAACTGACCTTCGGGTTTTTTTTTCGCCATTACTTCCGGTTTTGAAAGTGCTTAAGTTGTCGAGCTCCGTGTAATTGATTGGCGGAACAAACCCCCTGAGGAGACCGTAGAGGTCAAATCTGCGGGAGTGTGCTTTGGTCAGCTTTCATCGTTCTTAAATATTAAACAGTTCTGCAAGTCTGGTCATCCGTCTTTGTATTGAGCACTTTTAATACGCTCAATTTTAACAAATATTTCACTATTTGTGTTACTCTGACACACACGCACACACGCACACACACACACACACACACGCACGCACACACAGATAGATAGATAGATAGATAGATAGATAGATAGATAGATAGATAGATAGATAGATAGAATTGTAGCGGAATATGTGTGGACAAAACGGAGAATTAAGGGAATCTTCAACACAGTTCTAGAAATTAAAATATTTTTTTTATTCGAGTATTATTTTTCTTTCAAATTGAAAAAAATGAATGACAAAGATTATTAGCGAAACAACTTCACGCAAAATATTTTCTTTATCTTTTTTTACAATACAACCGAATTAGTTGTGTTAGTCTAAAAGAAACAGAGTGCGTCTACATGTGAAAATGTGTGTAACACATTTTCACATGTAGACGCACTCTGCACGTTGTTTTTTGTATACATATAAATTGCAACAGTCTACAGTATGAATAATCAGTGACCTCGTAAACAAACTTAGTCTGCATATTTTTATGTGTTAACATCGCTAAGCATTTTTGTAATATGATATACTCGAATAAATATGCGAAAATGTGAGTGATATTTCAGTTTTGTATAGCAACCGAATGACCACACTGATATAAGGTTAATTGAAAAAACTAACTAGCGAATTAAAAATTGATAATAATGAAAAATTGGTGGCAGAAAAAAATGTTAGATTTATTATTGATTAATTTTTCAATTTTTGCATATTCATTTTAAAGAGCGGAAATATTTTGATCATATTCTGAACTGATCCTCCTAAATTCTGCAGCTAACAACAGATCTTAATTGTCTGCAAATTCAAATAAAGGCGCGCGTTTCATATAATGTCGTTGATTGGTTAATATATATGAATATAAAAATTCAAATTTTGGAAGTCGGTCTTACACAAAATGAGTTAATTACTGAGTTTAAGCAATCTATTGCATTTTTCGACAATTCTGAAACTGGGTTCCATAGAAAGAAAGAAAGAAAGAAAGAAAGAAAGAAAGAAAGAAAGAAAGAAAAATAGAGAGAGATAATGATGTAGCCGAAGTGAGAAAGATCTGGATTACGATATATATATATATATATATATATATATATATATATATATATATATATATATATATATATATATATTAAAAAAATAATTAAAAAAAAGACAACATTAAGGTTCCATGACTATAATTTATTTCCTCCGAAAATATATTTTTTCTGGTCATCAGGACACATCTCTAGTTACAAAGTTATATATATATATATATATATATAGACAGAGAGAGAGAGAGAGAAGGAAAGAAACACTGACAGCCACCTAGCTAGCTAGCTAGCTAGCTAGCTAGCTAGATAGATAGATAGATAGATAGGGAACCGACTGAGATAGATATAAACTGGCTAAGATAGATAGATAGATAGATAGATAGATAGATAGATAGATAGATAGATAGATATTTCTAGATATTAGATAGAATAAGGAACCATTCTGAGATAGATATAAACCGGCTAAGATAGATAAATAGATAGATAGATAGATAAGGAACCGACTGAGATAGATATAAACCGGCTGAGATAGATAGATAGATAGATAGATAGATAGATAGATAGATAGATAGATAGATAGATAGATACTAAGGTTGGCTGAAAGGTTCCGAGGCTGATTATGAAGGAATGATGCTAGAGCTGTGAAATTGTGTATGCATTAATTTCAACTCTTTTTATTAATATCTGCATTGATCATTTACAGGTAAACTGACATCTGATGTCGATAGAAGACTTCACATATAACTGATAGCGACTACTCTTGAAAATAGACAAAATTTCGCATCGTGTTGTTATCAAGTACATGCATAAAAATGGTTTAGCCAATAAGGACATTCATGCAGACATATAACGTCGTTGATTGGTTAATATATATGAATTTAAAAATTCAAATATTGGTAGCCAGTCGTGCACAAAATGAGTTAATTACTGAGTTTATGCAATCTATTGCATTTTCTACAATTCTGAAACTGGGCTCCACAGATAGATAGATAGATAGATAGATAGATAGATTGATAGATAGATAGATAGGGAGAGAGAGAGAGAAAGAGAGAGAAAGAGAGATAATAATGATGTATAATGAACTATATATATATATATATATATATATATATATATATATATATATATATATAATTAGGAAAGAGACAACATTCAGAAAGAAACATCGACGTCGGGGAAACAACATCAAAAATTGATATTTACAATTAAGTAATTTTCTATATATAAAATTATCAATGCTGTATTTTTCATATTATTTTAATATTTTTAATATTGAGCACTATATGAAAATAGCTGCTTTACTTTTGAACTATTATATTCTTAAATCTTTAAAAAATGGGACGTCTGTAAAAAATATGAATTACGTATCTCGGCCTGCGCACCGTTAATAAAGAAAATGTTGTCTCAGTTAGGGTTTGAATGTGAGTCCTCCATTGTAGGAGAAACGACAACCGGAGGCAGGCTTTAGACCATTTCGTTATATAGAGCGTTAGAGCCCAGAATAGTTGTATTAAACCATATATGAGAATTTAGATAGTCATTCTGGTTGGATGCCTCGGTTGGCAACCTTACAGGGGGAAGGAAAATCCTTAATTTAAACCTATGGAGGACTGTTTGGGGTCTGCAAATAACACCGTAGAACCATTTTTACAGTTATCAGTTCTTCTGAAACGAGTGCCTGCTTCCATGCGAGCTTTCATCACTAGAATCAAATTATCAGTGAGTGTAGTTTAGTGGTTCGATTCGATAAGTTCGGGAAAAAAAACAGGAGAATCCAACACGATATATGTATACATATGTGTGAAAATGGGTTACACTTGAAGGACAATGTCGTAATATGTGTGCATGATTCTGATTTGGAATCTCGACTTCAGTCACTTTCTCACCGTAGCTTCCCTCTGTCTTTTCTACAAATATTTTCATGGCCCCCGCTGTGACGAGTTTTTTTTTTCTTTTTTTTTTTCCTGGTGCCCCGACTGCGTAAATTTAAGCAGGCTACTAGATTGGCATCTAGGTCCCACCACTTTAGGGTTAAAACAGCTAAACACACCCGCCATTTCTATTCCAACAGTTTCTTTTCTTGCACTTCCTATCCGTGGAACTCCATTCCGTTTCCTTGCTTCCCTGATAACTACAATCTTCAAAAATTTAAATGCAGTCAGTCGCCCTCTTCTATCTTCATAAATCCCGTTCATCTTTTATTCTTTCTTCAATCCCTCCCCTGTACTCTGTCTTTTCTCTCACTTTCACCCCCCGCGTTCTAGTGGCATTCCCGCCTTCCTTGGTGGGGTGAAATGATTTTAAAAGAAAACATAATATATAATGTCGACGTTGAGAATACGCACAAAAATATTATCTTTCTTTAAAGTGAATAAAAGAATAATAAAATTAACAGCGAAGTAAAATATGTTAATAGTAAAAAGCGAAAATGATTAAATAGAAAAAAATTATTAAAAAAAAAACAAATATGAAAAATTATATAACGAATAATTATTATCATTATTTTCTTATTATGAGGAATTGTAGTGTGAAAAAGAAGAAGAAGAAAAAGAAAAGAAGAAGAAGAAGAAAAAGAAGAATAGTCCCAGTCATCAATTAAGACAAGGGTAGAGATGAAAAAAGAAGACTAAGTAAAAGAAAAAGAAGAAAAAGAATGTAAAAAAAAGAATAGATACAGTAAGAAATTAAGGTAGAGATAAAGAAGGGAAAGACGAAAAAGAAGAAGAAAAAAAGAAGCTAAAAGATAGTATAGCAAAAAATTAAGACAAAGAAAAAGAAGAAGAAGAAGAAGAGGAAGAAAAAATACGAAGAAAAGAAGAAGAAGTAAAAGAAGAGGAGGTAGAATAGGCCCAGTAAAAAATTAGATAAAGATAGAAATAAAGAAGAAAACGAAAAAGAAAAGGAAGAAAAAGTAGAATAGGCCCAGTAAAAAAAGTAAAATAAACACAGAGATAAAGAAGAAAAGAAGAGGAAGAAAAAGAAGAAGAAAAGAAGAGGAAGAAAAAGAAGAAGAAAAGAAGAGGAAGAAAAAGAAGAAGAGGAAGAAAAAGAAGAAGAAAAAGAAGATTATGGCCAGTAAAAAATTAAGATAAGGATAGAGATAAAGAAGAAAAAAAAAGAAGAGGAAGAAAAAGAAAAGGAAGAGGAAGAGAAAAAAAGAATCGGTCCAGGAAAACTCAAGAAGAAGAAGAAGAAGAAGAAGAAGAAGAAGAAGAAGGAGGAAAAGAAGGCGAAGAAGAAAGCGAAAAAAAAAAGAATGTGATAATATAGAGCAGCAATAACTGAGAGAGAATTACCCTGGGCCCATTAAGCAAAATCACCCAAAATTGAAACGAAATGATTGCATATTAATTGACAAAATCGCTACTGGCTGCCCAATTACACAAATCTCGTTCCACTTTTTTTTTGCATAAATACACCTTTCAAAAAATTAACAAAATTAAAAAAAAAATTCTAAGAGCAAAATAAGAACAACAAAAAAGTTCTGCCACGAAGGCAAGAAATTTTCCAACTTGATTCTTGATTATTAAGGAATTTTCGGCTCATATTAAAATATGTTCGCCTTTATAGGAAAATCTGAAGAGGCGAAAAAGATGGTGAACTAGAAAAGGAAATGGATGATTACACAGAAAAGGAAATGGTGAATAATAATAATAATAATAATAATAATAATAATAATAATTGGTAGAAAACGACAGTGCAGGGAAAAGATTATGGTATAAGCGAAAAACGGGGTAAAATAAATAGTAATAGAAAATATAGTAGAGATTTAGACTCTATTGAATCATGACGATCAATATTCTAGGCAGTACTAAAATAAGTATATAAACTGAGCTGATCGAGAATTAAATAAAGGGCAGAAAATTCCATGAAGAATACCCGGATTAACTGATGAAGGGCACCAAGGTCGAAACGTTCTGATATTAACAATATACATGAGGAAATTTTCTGACAATAAAAAATGTAAATAATAACTAGTTAGAAAGGAATTAATCAATAAATAATACTAATCCTACTACAACTACTACTACTACTAATAATAATAATAATAATAATAAGAAGAAATGAAGAAGATGAAGAAAATGAGGATAAAGAAAAAAAGGCAAGATGAATAATAATAATAATAATAATAATAATAATAATGAATAAGAAGAAGAAGATGATGTTGAAAAGGATGGAGAAGAAAAATGAAGAAGATGAGGATAAAGAAGAAGGAAAAGGCAAAAGGTGAATAATAATAATAATAATAATAATAATAATAATGGGAAGAAGAAGATTAAGGTGAATAAATATGGAGAAAAAAAAAGAAGATGAGGATAAAGAAGAAGGAAAAGGCAGAGGGAATAATAATAATAATAATAATGGGAAGATGATTATGATTAGAAAATAAGATGGAGAAGTAAAAAATGAAGAAGAAGAGGATAAAAAAGAAGGAAATTAAGAGGAAATAATAATAATAATAATAATAATAATAATAATAATAATAATAATAATGGGAAGAAGAAGACCTGATGGTGAATAGGATTAAAAAGAAAATGAAGAAGATGAGGATAAAGAAAAGAAGGAAAAGAAGAGGGAATAATAATAATAATTTATAATAAAATAATAATAAACCCCCAAGAAGAAAATTCTGAATAGGATGGAAAAAAAGAAAATGAAGAACCGGATTTATGAAAATTTAAGAAGGAAAAAAAGAGAGGGAATAATAATAATAATAATAATAATAATAATTAAAAAAATAATAATGAAAACAGAAGGTTTATTTTGGAAATTTTTCTCATTTGTAGAAAATGAAGAAGATGAGGATTAATTAAGGAGGAAATAAGAGAGAATTAAGAAATAATTAATAATAAAATAATATCAAGAAGAAAATGGTTCATAGGATGGAAAAAAAAAATATAAATGAAATAGATAAGGAAGAAAAGAAGGATATATAAATTAATAATAAAAAAAAAATAATTTAAAAAAATAAAAATAAAAAATAATTCAAGAATCATCATCATCCATTCAAAGCTTTGTTTGATGGTAAATGAAGCCCAGAAAAAAAAATTATAAATTGGATTGGCGGCCAACGATAGAACATACCTAAAAAAACAAGATTCTGGCCTCCAAAGATATTTGAAAACTACAGAAGAATGGATGATTTTGTATGCGTCAAATTTCCTGAAAGTAATAAGCGACATGAATATGTAATATGAAAAAAGACAACAAATTCAAAATGGAGTTTAAAATGGGCGTTTGCAAATACAAAATACACCGGCTGAAACTGCAAAATACCATAAAAAGAAAGAAAAGAATGCAAATTTCACTAATTAAAAAGCTATGGAAAGATAAACCGAAAATTTTAAAAATTTCCAATTATTACAAACAAGTTGACGTAGAATCAAAACCCGAATTCTATCAGTGGCTAAATATTTTATAACTGCATATAAATAAAATTTGAAACTGAAGGTTTTTATTCCTTTTAATTTTTTAAATTGTTATTTATAATTATCAAAAAAAATATACTAAAATATTGTGTCATTTTGTTCAATAAAATAAAATTAAATATAAAAAACTCTTTTAATAAATGATAAATTTATTGTAAATTGTGTTTGTGGCAATTTTTTTGCATTTTTTTGAAAATGGACTTCCAGGAATAACTTCAATTAGTCTAATGTATGCAATCTTTCCAAAAAATAAAAAAAGAAGGGTCCAACTTAAATATGAAGGATTGTTGATGTTCCCATATTCCACATTTTCCTATTTCTATTTCAAAATCCTTGTACTTTTTACAACTTTTTTATATCTTCAAATATACATTGCAGTCTGCATGGAAATCTAATTGGCTCAATAAGGAAGCAATTTTTTTTGTTTGTGGTCTTTAATAATCATAATATTCAATGGGAATGAAATTGATTGTTCTGTCAGTGTGTATTGTGTAATCCCATAGAATTGTTTTAGGTCCTTCTCCGTAACCATGTCTGGGTGGTGTTCATAATTTTTTTTCACAAAAACTTCCGTAGAAGTTGATGATTTTCCAGTTCAGATATTGGCCCAAATAATCATGTCGGGTTTTATATTCAAAATAACAATATCCCAATTAAACCTGATATAGAAAAGTGATCAATCGTTTCTGGATATTTAAAACAGAATCTGCATTTTATGCCATAACAATATTTTAGTTATAGTGATTGAAATTTCTAGTTAGCAAATCATTGTCCTGATGCAAAAATCTATAAAACCTTCAGTTCGAAATCAAGAAATTAACAAAAATAATAAGATGGGAATAATCTGATTGGATACATGTATACTTTGTTTGGTATATATATATAAATTTTCCATGAAAATTATCAGAAGATCTTTGGTATTGTTTCTGTTTATATCATTATTATTATTATTATTATTATTAAATTATTATTATACGTATATAAGAAATATAATCAATCATTAATTCTAACTAATCCCTCCTGAGAAAAAAGAAATTTTAAAAATTATAAAAAAACAGAATGAATATTAATAGCGCTCCAATTTTAAAGAAGAAATTTTTAAAACATTGGTGCCGATGCAAGAAAATAACTTGATGTAAATAAATTAAATATTGTTTTCACAAGAATCAAAAACAAGTCAAGATACTGTGGAATATCGACATCCAAACAGACGGCGTCCTTGATCATCATTATTGCTGGGGTCATTTTTAACTGGAAATCGCGTCGAAGTTTTCCATATATATATCTCGATAATACGATAAAATTTATAAACGGTAATTATGATCCAAGAACTTTTTATATAAACGGATAATCACCTGCTTGGTTACCAAATTGTCCAACGGGATTATCTATAAGTTTTCTTCAGTACGATAAAATAAATAGAGATTATATTCGGGATCCCCACTGTCGGCGTTAGGACGGCGGAAAGTGGCATTTAACTAAAAGGACTATTGAAGGAAAGTAACTTTTTTAAAAAAAATGTAATAGTATCTTATATTAGTAAAATAAACATAAAGTAAAAGTTTGAATAAAAAATTATTAGTAAAATTTTATTTTAAAATAATATATATGAATATATTTTTATATTTAATAGCAAAGTGGTAACTTTTATGTAGTATTTTTTAATGACTTTATATATATATATATATATATATATATATATATATATATATATATATATATATTTATTTAGCAGCATCTTTTCATTCATACAGGTTTCATTAAATAATATATAGACAAGTGTTGTCTTTTTTATTTTATTTAAATTTTTTTTCATAACGTCTGATAAATTTAATAACATTATCGTTGAACGAAGAAAGAAATTCACAATATTGATCCATATTTTAAATACAATCTAAATTTTCGACTTACATAAGTTTTATCAAAGATGTCAATATTAAAATTTTTTTTAAATAAAACAAATATACTTACAAGACAGTGATGATAGTCTGTTTTGTTTAAATAGATGATTTTAAGCAACGATAAACACGTGCATATAAACGCTAGAAGCGAAAATCAGACTGCATCTCATGACGTCACACATGACCACACGAGGTCTGAAAATAAAAATTCTTTCCTGGTATAAAATTGCCGTTGGTTAAACCAATGGCTTCTGTTCCATACCAATTATTCAATAATGTTATTAAACTTTCAATTTTTTATGAAAAGAATTTTATAAAATAAATGCCAAATAATTACAAAAACTCTTTCTATATTTAATAAACGATTATATATTATATATATATATATATTATATATTAAATTTTAAAATTTAAAAATTTTTCCCATCGTAGGACAATTTGAAAAACCAAAAATTTAAAAATAAAATTTAAATTTTAATTATTTTATTAAATTATAATAAATTTATTATTCTAAACAATATTTTTTTGAAATAAATTATTTTTAAATTTTGTCTTGTTTATATTAATTTATTTTTATCGATAAAGTTTCATTGGTATGGTATATATATGATTTTAATAATTTTTAAAAAAAAAATTTTACATATATTTTTTTATATATCAGTTATTATTTAAGGACGATTTTGAACCGGACGATGGGGAAATTTCAAATTAAAAAATTTCAATAATTTACATTAACATTTTTTTTTCATACGGATTCATTTAGAATATAATTGAAGGAACGAAAACAAATAAATCCTACAAAAAACAAAAATAAATAAAAATTTTTTAATTCCAAAAAATATCAAAAAAATTATACAAATAACAATAGTTAAACCTATCTACTCTATTAATAAAAAAAAAAAATTTAAGGGACGTCATTTTCATCTACATCCTTAACCAAATTAAAAATAAAATCTGGATATCACTTCATAGAATTATTTCTACAGAGTTTTTTTTAATTTTTTATTTCACCTTAAATCAGTGACGAGAGACGGATTCAAAAGTGGCATTAAAAAAATTATACGTAGTAGCTAGCAAAGTACGAATGCAATTAAAATTTAAAATATTCATGTCCTGGTGCGGTTGTCTTCTCCAATTTTTTTTTTTTAAATAATCCTCGATCGGTGACCTGTTTTATTTAAATTGCAGAAAAAAAACGATGTTTTTCTATCGATTAATTTTTCGAACAAAATTTGATTTCGCCAAAGGCAAAGTAAAAAAATTGATTCGTTGAACACAGAAAATTATATGATTTTTATATAAAAATATAAATTATACATATTTTTTTTTGTATTGTGACTTTTGAACTGAATAAAATGATTTTAAGAGGTTTTTTATTTGTTTTTCGAAAATATTTTTGGAAGAAAATAAAATAGGAAACCAGTTTTCATATTTAAATTTATGAATTGATATTAATAAATGAAGAATTTGAAAAATATAATAAAGAAAATGTATTAATGTAAAAGTCTCAAATAAATAAATTTCACATCAAAATCTATATTACAAAGGAAATTTTAATTTAACATTCAGCATAAAGTGTCTATATATATATATAAAATATTTATATATATATATATATATATATATAATATATATATTGTCCAAATCGTGTAAAAGCAAAATTATCCAATTATTAGATTAAGCTCTGAATTCTTGTAACTTACAAATGATTAAAGATATCTTACTGGAATTCTCCGAGATTTTTATAACGGTATTAGACTCTACTTTGAGCAATAAAAATGTATAATTACTCTCTAAGCTTAACAGAAGAACCATGATGAAATCGCTCATACACGAAACCGCCATGCTCATCATTAACTATTCATAGCTAAGGATCGTAAGCTCATGAAGAATTGAAATAAATTCATATATATATATATATATATATATATATATATATATATATATATATATATTATCATTTTTTTTACTTATTCAAGATGATCTTCGCCCTCTCTAACCTTCTAACTTTCTGTCCTGGAGTAACAAGTTGCCTCACAGGTTTCACGTACGACTTCATTTTCAAGTCTTTTTTCACTGTTCTTTCGACTGTCATAGCTGAAACTTCTCTCTCAAGTGCCAAACGTCTTATGGATTGAGTCGGATCTTTTCTAATTGATCTCTTTAGCTCTAAGTTGAAATGATGATCTATCTTCCTGTTGTGACCTTCTGATCCAGTTTTTTTTCTCTACTATGTTTCCTTTTTTTAAACTTATTCACCGTTCTCTTGATGGTTCTTGAATGGACTTTGAAAATGGAAAGCCAGAGTATGAATGTTGGTACCATTACTGAAGGCCTGAATGATCTTTTTTTCTCACCATTGCTCAGTTAGAAGACAGTGGGGATGACACAAAACAATTTTAACCTGTTCTCTTTTTCTACTGAATAACTCAAAGGTTTTTTTTTGTGATTCTTACAAAAATGGTGTCAAGATGGCTAAACGTCTTATCTGAAAACCTGGAAAAAGAAACTCAATTAGTTTAGTGTTTTTTTGTTTGTTTGTTTTTTTTTTTTATAAAACATTGTGTGGGATGGATAATTATGTTGTTCCACGATTTGGACAATTTTGTTGTTACACCTGGTAAAACGTATAGATAGAAACGGCTATTTAATACCATTACCATTATCATACTATTACCATCGACGATAGAAAGAGCGATAACAATTAGTGGACTTTGGAAGTCTAATTTCATGAAGAATTGTTTTAAGAAAAAGATTTTATAAATTTCAACCGACAGTAACGCTAATTGATCGGTCAATGAATGCCAAATGTTTCCTGTATGGAAACGGCTTATTAATATCCTTATCATTATTTTGATAGTGAGCGAAACAGACTAGGGCGGGACTTTTGCTCGTCTCGATAATTCCCCTTTACTTGGAAATTAACATTCCTTTCGTTAAAAATGACCGTTGAGAAGAAGGAAAAGAGTACTTAACTGTTAAGTATATCAATCATCCTATATGACAGTGAATGCTGGGCAATCTTCTTAAATACGACGAAGACACATGTATCAACAGAAATCTCGTTCTACAGAAGGATGGCGAGAATACCATGGACTGAACAGGTTAACAACGTTGAAGGTATAAAGACAATGGAAACAAAAAGAATACATATTTACCACCAGGAAAAGACAGTCGAAATTTCTAGTGCACATAATAATGAAAGAAGGCTTGGAAAATATAATACTTACGGGAAATTAGTGGACTCGAAAAATATTACCAACAATAAATTTTTGAAAAAAAAGTATTACCATCAATAAAAATCTTGTCTTGCCGTAAAACAAAACAAATTAAAACAAATCACTATTTACATTATTCGGACTATTGTCCTCATCTTTGTCGCCATATTTATTACAACGTTTCGACCGTTGTATGCTCCGGCCTTCTTCAAGTGGTTGGAATGTCGAACTGAACCCTTAATTTCACTCACTGGGGAAGACTGTTCTAGTGCCATGTTTTTGAGAAGAGGGACAGAAGATAAAAATATATAGCCCGCCAAGTGAACTTGAGTAAGTGGATGACGGAACAAGGTTTAAGAGTCGGTCGAACGACCACCATTGTCTATGGTGCATACAGACTAAGTGAGCTCGACTATCTGCTTTCTCGCGGTCTGACGAAGACGATGGATGGTTAGCTGGTCGAGTGCACCAGGGTGTGGGGTTCCACGGCCAGAGGACCAGAACTCACAAAGCTGGGCAAACGTCAACTGCTCGCTTCTACGTGGTCAGCCCCTGTCGGTCGGTCGGTCGAGTGCTCACCACAAAAAGACACAATTTAATCATAGTTACAAGGATAGGAAATTGTGGAGAGCCATGATTGCCAACGTTCTGAATGGACACGGCACATAGAAGAAGAAGAGGGGGGTATAGAGATAAGCCGTCAACTTTGTCTTCTCTTTGCGTTCGTTGCTCGTAAAAAAGTAGTAATGATTCAATTTCAAACTGTTATTTCATAATTGGCTTCCGTACTTTTGATTCCATGTTTGGTCATATTTGACGAATATTTATTTTTCGAATTCCATTCTTTTTTTTCTCTCTCTCTCTTAAAGAGTTCAATTTATATGCAGATTACCAAAGAGCCATTATAATGCATCTTGCAAGAATTTGATGTTTTTCTCTCTTGAAAGTAAAATAAAAAAATTAAAATCAGGACTACTACTATTATTATTATTATTATTATAATTATTGTCATCATCATCATCATTATTATTATTATTTCCTGTTTTATTTTTCATTTAAATGTCGCAACAAACTAATTTCGAACAAAATGGCACTGACCGACTTGATATTTAATTTCACAGTTTAAGTTGTCAAAACTGGACTGCACAAATGTCCAGTTGCGGATCCTGGTATCCTTATATAAACATGAACATAATGTTCAGCGAACTCATTTGGCTGACTGTTACTCTTCGCGTCCTGGGTAAGACGATAAACTACATCCGTGTCCTGGGTATGACGTAAAACTATATCCGGGTCCTGGGTACGATGATAAACTATGTCCACGACCTGGGTAACAGGATAAACTACATCCGACAGAAAAGCCTCTGATTAGGTTTTGAGAAGAGTGTGGTCCACCCTGACTCGGGGTGGTAGCACCTGTCAGGATCCCAACTAAGGGCAAATAGTTAACTCCCCAAAAGGATCAAATGAAAGTAAAAAAAAATAGATTTTAATACCAGTAATACTTTATCAAAGAAAGAATTTTACCAGCAATACATTTTTGAAGAAAAATTATTCTGTGCAATACATTATTACCAGCAGAATATTTTTTTTATAAAAGAAAAATATTACAAGCAATACATTTTGAGAAAAAATATTACCAACAATACATTTTTGAAAAAAAAATATTACCATCAATAAAAATCTTGTCTTGCCGTTAAACAAAACGAACTAAAACAAATCACTATTTACATTATTCGGACTATTGTCCTCATCTTTGTCGCCATATTTATTACAACGTTTCGGCTGTTGAACGCTCCTGCCTTCTTCAGGTGGTTGGAATGTCGAACTGAACCCTTAATTTCACTCACTGGGGAAGACTGTTCTAGTGCCATGTTTTTGACAAGAGGGACAGAAGATAAAAACATATAGCCCGCCAAGTGAGCTTGAGTAAGTGGACGACGGAACAAGGTTTAAGAGTCGGTCGAATGTCGAACTGAACCCTTAATTTCACTCCCTGGGGAAGACTGTTCTAGTGCCATGTTTAATGGATGCCTGTTAATTTCACTCTCCAAGTTCTCCACTGCCTTAACCAGGTATTGAACTCACAATCTTTGGGTCCTGTCACTGGATCTAACCAACGCCTTTATCCACTGTGCTATGTGTCCTTGAGGAATTTCTGGGTATTATAAAACTAACGTCTTGAGCAACTATTTTACCAGTGCTCATATTGCAATTTTTGTTGTTATCATTACATATTTTTACCAATGTTCATATTGCAATTTTTGTTGTTATCAATACATATTTTTACCAGAGCTCATATTGCAATTTTTGTTGTCATTATCGCATTTCTCTGGCACTCCTTACTACTGGTTCTCATATTGTATTCATTTCTATGCTTGGTCGGCTCAGGAGATTTTTATGCCTTAGCTAAGCCAAATCAATTCCTTCATATGAAGTAAAAATATAAACCAATTTATAATTTTCAGATTGCGACTTGGAGGTTATTTTAATGTTGGCATTTATATCTGTTTGATTCTATACTGATTAAGGCTTTTTTCCTATACATTAAAAAAAAACTACGCCTTTTGATCTTTTCGATTAATTTTAAAAAAAAGAGAAGATATCATGTTAGAATTGATTGATAAATAACAAAACCATTCCTATTTACTTTGGATTCAAATGAATGAAACATAAACAAAAAACTAAACAACCAACAAATTAATCGAATGACAAAAGTATTCTATCACTGGCAAAACGGGTGTTAATTTAATGATCAACTTGGCGGGTTATTTTCGCGCCATTTACGCGTTTAATTTCCAAGCGACGATAAATTGTATTAATTGATTAAG